TATATATATATATAGTTTGTAATACCTATTTATTTATCCATCTATCCATCTGTACTCATACACATGACAATTAAGTAATTTCCAAAAGAAAGACATAACTGGAGAATGATCATATAACATTGCTGAACCAAAAGGTCACTTGCTCCCAAAACTGTTGTTTAGAAGTTACCTAACAAGCCTGGCAGTACGCTGCATTGCTTCATCTCACTGAAAACCGTTTTCAAACACTCTATGACACAATTCAAGAATAACTCAAGTTCTTTTCCTCAAAGTTTTATTACTCTCTTCAAACTACTAAGATTCACTAATGCCACCTGCAGCAACTGTACTCCATGCTAGCTTTCAAAGAACGCTGAAGATGTGTAAAGGCAAGCTCACTGAAGCTAGTGCTAATTGCCCTAAATGATAAGCCATGGAGAAAGAGCACTAATTTTAATTGGCAAAGTTTGAAAAGTAGAATTTTAAGGAGACACGTGGAACAGTGCATAGAGCAGCATACTCTTGTGTGAATCTTAGTGTATATAATCATATATTCCCAGGCATATAATCATATATTCTCCCAGGCTACATAAAGAATAGTGTTAGGTAGAAGCAGTCCATTCTGGTTCAAGGAGGTAGCAATTCTTTTCCTTTTTTAAGGTGTCATTTGAATTACATTTGGGAAATGGAGCATTTTACATTCTCTTTGGAGATTCACATGTGACATCAAGGGGAGTAAAAGTCTTACGAGAACCTGCAGGATAACTCCTTTTTTGGCTCCAGTGATGGCTATCAACATCATATAGGTCCAGTATTCTATGGAAGACAGTTTGGAAAACACTATTCTAACACTAAAGTATACATTTTTTTGTGACTTAATTTGTTTAGTAAATATAATCATAGTAAAAATTAATAGTTATATTAGTCATAATGGATAGGAAATGCATTTTGAATAAATTGTTTCAAATGTTAATCTTAGGAATTTTAGGATATAATATTTATGATGCTTTTTTGGGCACAATGACTCCTTCTGAAATTACCCCAAGTCAAATCATAGTCATTTTAGAGGGCAAGAAACAGAAGATAGATGCTTTAATATATAACAAGTAAGTCTTATGTAAAGCAACTGAGCTAAACAAAAAACTGAAATCTCTGGTATTTGGCTGGAGGTTAATAATCTGTAATATATTTATATAAATCAATGAGGAATGTGGCCAGGCTGCCTATAACCTCACACTTGCAAAACAAAAGAGTCAGACAGGTCTGAACATTTGAACATGAATACTCAAAAATAATCCCAACTGTATGTGTCCTTGTGTTGACCAACATTTTGAAACTTTCCTTTTTTTTTTTTGCCATATTCAGTAAACTGGCAAAACTATCATTTCAACGATTGCCTGATTATAGTTCCATAAGAAAAAAGTTACTAGCACTGTGTTCAATATGAGTAAAATATTTCAGATGACTTTTAGAGGAGAAGAAAATTACGATTCAATATTTATCCATTAAAGCTTTATTTAATGTGATCCAAATGGTCTGTTCAAAAAGTAGAAGGGAAAAGTGGTTCTCAGCATTTACTATCTCTGAGTCCAGTTTAGCTTTGCAAAACACCATCCAAAAAAGGCAGATATGTCGTTATCATTTCAAAATTAAGCCAGCCAAGCCCTTAACTATCCCATAAAGTAAGTTCTCTCCCTGTCTCTATTGTCTTGACCCCCCAGCTGCAGGGCAGAGAACAAACCCTGCCGTCCAGCACAGCACTCTGCTTTCCAGCTGTCCTAGTGATGTAATTATCTCATAACAAAATCTCTCTGTGAATTAACTCTGCATCCTACCCATTGTAATTCTTAATGACTACTTCCTGCTCATGTTCTCAATTTAACTTGCTATTCTGGATCTATTGCATAGGCAAGTTGCCTTCATCTAATGGATGGGATTACATCCAATAGGTTTGGGATTTCCAAAGATTACAATTTACAAAGGTCTCCCAAACAACATGCTTTGTAAACACAAGCCCTGTCTTTCCATTGTGGT